GTCCGTGCCCACACCACCGTCCACCAAGCCGTGGCAACGAGTCTTCGTCGATTTGTATGGACCCATGCCAAACGGTCAGCACCTGTTTGCCACTATCGACCAGTTGACTCGCTACCCGGTCATCAACGTGTTCAGCACGACACCCACTACGGCCGGTGTTGTTAAAGCTCTGCGCTCTACATTATCCATGTTCGGCTTGCCCGAAGAGCTAGTCTCGGACAACAGTCCTCAGTTCCGTTCTTCGGCTTTTGCTGATTTCCTCACGCAACACGCTATCCAGCACCGCCACACCCCTCCTTTGTGGCCACAAGCAAACGGAGCAGTCGAGTGCCTCAACCGTACCATTGGCAAAGTTCTGCGAACTGCCAAACTAGCTGGCGAAGACATCAATGTTGCATTAGACCAATGGCTCCTAGCGTACCGCACCACGCCACACCCTGCCACTCACGAGGCACCGGCAACACTCATGTTTGGTCGCCCCATCCGCGACAGTATACCCTGCATTACGGCAGCCGCACCAGACTTGCCTTCAGCTGCCCACCGTGACCAGCAATTCCGCCAATCCCAGTGCGATGCTGCCAATGCCAACCGCCGGTCAAACGCCCCCATCCTCACTCCTGGTCAGCGCGTCTTACGCCGCAATGAGCAGGCACACAAGCTCTCACCACAGTGGGATCCCAACCCCTGGACCGTGGACCAGATCTCTGGGTCTACGGTGACGATCTCCAACTCGGCAACTGGCCAAAGATCGACTCGCCATAATTATGTCGTTCGTCAAGCCCGTAATTGTTGTCACACCGCCAGCCCATCACCCACTACCAGCTGAACGTTCTGCCACCACACCTTACAAAATTACAACAAAATCACATGCAAGAAGTCCTTTCACTTTGACTACTGCTCGTTGCGTGACATCACTCCTCACCAAAGGACTTCCTGGGGATCACAATCCTAAACAGACAAATGTACGAATACCGCAACTGACTCTGTTGTTCTGCACGCCACGATCAACACGACTGCGTGCAAGACACAGCTGATCATCGTCGCTGTACTCTTCCCTGAGCACGTTACCCTGTCGCTGCAGCCTGCGACGGACATTCCATAGTTCCACCAACTTGATGGCTTGATGTTCACATTGACGTCGACCATGCGGTGTTGCCATTGACGACCTTCAACTTCAGGTCCTTGCCGTGGTCCGCACCATTCAAGAGATGGGCCACATTTGGTGTACTTTCACCCAGTTGGTCACTTATTTTAACCTTGCCGACTTTCCACTGCCGGACTGTTGCTTCAACAACTGGCGGAGAGCACATACGCATATCATCACTCTTCCTTGCAAACATCATTTCCGTCTCCACCACGTCCTTATCAGCCTGATCCATGCCTGACACCCCCAAGGCACTGTCCACTGTGCCGCCGGGCTGGTGGAGCGACGGACCGATTCTCCAGTGACGGTCGTCGTCCACAAGGCTGTTGGAGTGCGCATCCAAGATGTGCTAGAGCTGTTCAGTGCCGTGTAATGCTATCGCATGAGCTGATTGTTTAGTAACTGGTGGTGTTAGTGGACAGTATAGCGTAACTTGTAGTTCCTTGGTCTTTCTCTTTTGTATAAACAAACTAGTAAGCTAACGATAAACTAGTTACACTGAGACAATTCGACTGGCACAAATTACAACAAAATCACATGCAAAAAGTCCTTTCACTTTTACTACTGCTCGTTGTGTGACAACCACCATCATCAGTGTGCGCATTGCGCCTGGTTTGGTGCATGCCTGGTGGAATATGATATAGCGGCTGATGCAGTGGGCACGTCAGGTAACACCTAACGCATTGAAAATGACTCAACTATGACTTGGTTCGATTGCAACAAACCTAATGATAGTGGTACCGAAACATTCGGGTAACCGGAGTAAGTGCCAATTGATATTTTTGGCTCCAGTCAGTCAAGTGATTCAATTGCAATACAATTATATACGTACGGTGGAACTCACTTAGTACGTACCCGGGTAAGACATACACCTGCATAACACGGTCCTCTTTTGTCGCACGGATTTTCCTCCCATAAGCGCATATTCAGATGTGTACGGATACGACTGCTTCCTTCTGTTCATGTGATTCATTGCCGCTGTGTTACTGTATGCAGATCTCACTCAGCTCTGCTCTCCGAGCATTCTGCTTCCAACACGACTTCCCGAAAGGTATGTATGGTGGCTAATAAATTGTAAGTAATGCGAGAGTCTTTACAGATTCCAGTGCTCTCATGCCTTTTGCAAGTTCCGTTTGTAAGTCAAATGGAACATGGTTTGTGGTCAATACTTCAGCAGTAGTGGTGCGAGAATATTCGGGTGTCAAATTGCTGGGAATTGATGTAAGATAACGGAGAATATACCAACATGTGAATCACTTGGAGATATGGTTTGCCAGGTTCTGTTCACACTCACTAGGCTAGACCCTCTCGAATATTGTACAACAGTTTTGGCCCAGGAGTGGTAAAGGGCACGGGGCAAGCTATGTCGGGACCTGCTGTAAAGTCCGCCATACACGAGCTGTACGTCTTATCGGATGGGATATACCCCTGATATTGCTGATAATGAATGGCCCAGTTTCATTGTACTGCTGTCCGCGATATATCCTTAGTGGCATTGTTAACTTCTCATTACTTGTGGGGACGCATAGATCATACGTCCATCCAACACCTGCCAATCGGAACCCACCGACAACGCTGTCGGTTGGGTTGGACCACAATCGGTTGGTTTTTGAGTCCAAGATGCCGCCTAGGTAGCACACAGCATTGCTAATCTGATTCTAAATTAGCTGCGCAAATCCTGGCATACTGCCCGTAAATGCATCTAACTCCCAGGGTACTTATGAGTTGTTAGGTCTATGTGGTACTTGTGTCGCATTGGCAGCCACTGTTCCGTTCTGTATTTTCTGGTGTATGTTTCGTTGAATCTCCACAGAAAATGTGCTCGCGCATTAGAAGGAGGTGAAAGATGCACCTGCAGGAGAATACATGCTGAAGAGAAGGCAGAAACATGCCCGGATCCACCAGAACTAGTGCTGGCAAGTCAACAGAGGCGAGTACTGATAATGTTCCAGATTGTGGTAGGATCACATAAGCAAAATTGACACTGGGAGGCACGGCGGTGGGTCAGCTCATGGCCAGCGCCAGCTCCAGTGGATATCACGTGCATCCATTTCTAGTACTATAGTATGACTGCTACAAAGTAGTGCGGCCCAAATAGAACTCGGGTCAATTGCCGAAGAACTGGGGGGGGGGGGGGCATGTGTCAATGAATGGTAATAACTCCGGAAATCATGCTGGTGTATCGAGGGCGTGGGCCAATGAAGTGCTGGATTGATGGTGGACGACTGTACTGCAATCTTGGCTGGTTCCACTATCGCAGAGACAGCACTTCCTGGTGCAACCACCCTATCCTGCAATCTATAATTATTATAATTATTATAAGAGATTTGTGTGAACGATTTTAGCATGATGCAAGTCAGCTTATTGTGCTGGGGGCCTGGCTACATGTCACTATAGCTTTTTATAGACTCGATCACCGCATTATGCTGCCTTGCGTTGACTTGATTGAGCACTCTTTTTGGTTAGTGTCAAAGGTATATGTAATATGTATCTGCCTTCGTGCAAAGCTCTCTTTGTGCGTGTCTTGCAGATAGCTCGCTGAATTTGATGCTTTGAGCCATTTTCAAATTGCTTTTTTTGTTCATTTCATATAGACCGTATTGTCATTTGTTTAACCTCCCGCTCTGAGCTCCACTGATGGGACCTAAAAAGGCTGAAACAGCTGTCTGGAGATTGAGCGTCAGTATTATGGATTTAGAATACACGATCTGGGGACAGCACTAGTACTTTCTAGCTGTTTCGTCCTTTGTGGACACATCAGCGAATCACGGAGAAATAACTCTTAACTAAGGATGAACCTAGCAGCCATGAAAATAGATAAATAATGCCTCCAAGCCAGAATTGTAGGCTACATGTGTAGGCCCGAATGTGCCTTGCCCGAGTGCTGAAACTGATAAGTCATTGAGATACGCATAGAACATCTGGCAAAGGAACTACTAAAGCCCCCACAAGCACGGTATTCTACTTCAACAAGGAAGAATTTTGAAAGCATGCACAGCCCTACATGTATAATGTTGGTATAGGTAAGCCTTGTTTGATAAATTAACATGACAAGGCGGGGGACGCACTGTGTTAAAAAACAGTGCTCCTGATACACTAGTGTGTCCTCGGCTTTGTCACATGCTGTCAACCGATCAACACATACAACGTTGCATGCAAAAACGGCTGCAGCCTCGAAGTACGGAGTGCTATTTTGGAAAATGCTAGATATACAGCCTGTACTTATACAGGTGTTCTATCAACTAGTGCCATTGTGACAACGGTAGCTGAATGATACATGTACATAAACCCAGGGTCATCATTGCAAGAACCTCTGGGTCTAAGCCCGAAGTAACATTCAACTACATGACTGTATGCACCATCATGTATACGCAATCTTCGTAGTAACTGAGTCTACCCCTCACCCACTACTGCCACTGTGACCACAATTGCGCACAAACAGAGGACCTTAGAGGACCTACTTCTAACTACAGTGCTGGCCAAAGAAATCCAATCTTATGAATAAAATTTCACCGGGCGCTACGCAGCCCTAGTAGTAAACATACTGGACCGGTCTGTTCTCTCGAACGCGGCGCTACTTTATTAACGAGGTTGGATTTCTCTGGCCAGCACTGTACAAAATACACACATGCACACACAACACTGCTAGGCTTTCCACCACCACACTAGGTTTTGAAACCGAAGAGTGGCAAAATTCAGGGCCAGACTAGAAAATCTGGGGAGACCTGATGGTTTTTTAAAGCAAAACACAGCCAGCACTCTGCAGCCTCACGCAGGTTTTCCCGAGTGCACAAAATTAAAAGTTGTTGAGGCACCACGAATACAGTCGGGCGTCACAGACCGTGGGACCCAGGAATGTACGTGTATACCTCTAGGAACACCACAGCCAATAACGTTTTAAAAAGAAACGCAGTGTCAATAGACTCAAGTCTCTGCTTTTCTGGAATACAGATTCTGCTACACACGTATTGCTCACTATCCAGTGGGATGTGCATCTAAGAAAGTGGTACAAGAAGTCAAGGAACTAAGCCTAAGGCCAGATTGCTGAAAGGTTTTGTATAACTGACGAGCCTGACCCCTTGGAAACAACAGCCGTGGATGCATGGCTCTACTGTAATAAATGTACAGGTACACAAACAATTTGAATGCAGAAATAACACTGTGACAACAAACAGGGAGAGGTGTAGGAAAATATACTCGGCCCCTAGTGAATTTGCTTGTGTATTAGCTTGAAAACTTTGGGTACACTTGTTGAGAGACCTAACTGCATGCAGCTAAAATATGGAGTGCCGTTGTCACCGACGACTTTTTCAGTGAAGTTGCGGCTAACATCTTCTCAGGTATTCCCGGGTCTTCGCTAAGGCCGTAAGGGTGATTGATATCATGTGCGTCTTCTATTGCTGATGTCGCTACACTCGATGGTGGTGCTGATGTACTGATTGTGGTGGAAGATATTGAGATACCATATGTCTCGAACCTTTTCGCCAAGTCTCCGCGGCCATCTCGCAAGAGGGTCGGGAGCACCACAACTGCAACGCCACAGATCCAAGGATCGATTCTCGGACAAAACATTCTTCAGATTGCCAAAGGTCCCCAGTGCTTGGCAATACTGGCCTGTACAGCATGAACACACCACACATACGCCCACACACCATGTACCATGTAAACGCCCGTTGCAGGAGAAGCACGCAAATCTGCAAATGAATTGGATGTGCACCCACAGATTTTCTCGTATAGGAAAAATAGCTGATCTGAATCTGAATAAAACAGATCAAAACTAGTGCCAGATAACAGTCTAATCCGCGCAAGGCAACTGGCGCAGCCATGTGAATCTCGAGCAAAATGAACAAACATGTCCCCAATTATCAGCAAACGGGTGTGCGTTACAGGATTGGCCTGGCAACTTCAAACAGGCACAATCCACTAACGTGGTGCCCCGTCAACTTCAACGGGAACACACCGATACGAACACAGCCCCACAACAGCAAAACGGGAACGCCAGACATGCATACATGGCATTCCCAAAAGCAGATACTTGGAGTCAAATTCATCCATCACACAGTTTGTTAGGGCTGAATTTTACAGTGACAATAGCAAATCCCACCTAAGGCACATGTGATGAGATCTGTACACCAACTATAGTCACAGAATCAATGCACATTAATAGAGCATAAGAACTCACTTGCGCTCATACCCTGTCACGTAGAGATGCTACTCTACGTGTACTGTTCCGATGTCCATTGGGGTGGTATGCCGGCCACTTGCCAGATGTAGAGCTTTTAAGCCGTACTTTGCCACCGTCTGCTTGCCGTATCACCACCTCACTTGCAACTCTGGATTCCAGGACTGTCGCTCCAACAATGGGCATGGAGCGGGAGCTAACCTGATAACAGTTGAGAGCGTGACAGAGTATCATATTTAAATAAGGCCGAGTAAGGTGGATCCCTTTGGCAAAAGTGAACACAGGCTTGGTGCTACAGGCATGGGCTGTCATGTGCCGGAATAGCCAATACCGGGCATGTTTCGTCGACAGTAGATGGAACTGCGACGGCTCCACCGTATATGGCCGTGTCTTAGTGACCTTCAGGCGCAACGTGACCAAGTCAGGTGCGAGACTCCCAGCCTCCCACACAAATACTCTTTGGCTGTCAAACGAGTGAATACTAGTACAGTGCGCATCGGTTATAGTGTGGTCGTATACAAGAATATACCGCCTACAAGAATGAACACTCATTTTTTCATAATCATAACACATATTTTATGTGTATATTTATTCTTACAAGCAGTATTATCGCATAGTAGAATATATCGGCCCTAAGAATGGATTTTGTGTAGCAAAATATGCCAGATTAGTGCAAAGTGTATCGCCTGTAGTAATAAAATCTGTGCTCTGTGCATAAAAAAGAGAGGATTTAAGAACGCACCCTAAAAAAGTGCTGAAAAAGTGTTGAAAAATGCCATCATGTGTATGATAGAATATAGATTATTCGTTCGATGGAGGGCGAAATTATTCGATAGATTATTCGTTCGAAGAATCCGTGTTCGGTTTAAACACTAGAAGAAAGTGTCTGCTCGGCACATCTCTTTTGTACAGTCAAGAGATATTAGCATATTTGGAGGAGGTGGTAGCCTAAAACAGGCTCGACAAAAGTTACCGGCTTATGCCAACAACTCAGTGTTCTGGTAGAGTAGACGGTTCGATACCGGAACGCCTTGACAGCCAAATTTGTATAGACCCAAACCGATCATCAGCGTTGATTTTTCACTCGAAATATGTTTGTGGAAGGAAACTGGCATGTTGAAGTTTGCTCTGGGGCCAGAGTCAATCGAACTGAGCCACTCCTTTGTGTTGACCCATTGCCTCCAAGTTGCCCAATTTTTCGCTTCAAAAAAGTTCAAATCAGAGGTGGTGTAATAGGTGTATGTATGCTACGACCTGAATATTCACTATTCGTATTTCCCGCTCGTTCCCCTTGGCAATGAGCCACTCACATAGAAGAGCGCATGCTCCAGGTTCTGTTCTGTTCTAGTCTAGTCTTGAGTTGTCGTTGTCCTGTTCTCCTTCTGTCTACACTCTTATCGAATACAGTCAGACCTCGCTTATCCGGTCCTCGTTTATCCGGATCCCTCGCCATCCGGAAGAAAATCGCTGGTTACCGATGTGCAGCATATGTTATGCATACAACATAACCGGACCTCGCGATCCGCATACCGGTGCATGATTTTGTGTACAAACTGGTTGAAATGTGTACAAAAAGCTTCGTCGTATCCGGTTGCATGTGCCTTGCAGAAGCTAGAATCAGGGAGTTGCACAGGCAAATGAGGTCCTTCATGCTGGGTGCATGTGGACAGCACTCAGTTGCATGCACTTGTCATTTTTCTCGCTTGTTTTACATACTGTGCACGCTAGTTGCACTGCATAGGACCCGTCTACATGTGTGTACGATGTCACTGCTTTTGATATGCCACATGCATATACAGTATGTGTGTTCAGTTATCCGGTTCCCTCGCCTATCCGGATATTTTTGTGGAAAACAGATGTGTGCGGTTAAGCGAGGTCTGACTGTACTTCTATAAATTATCCAATCATATAAAACCCCTGTGTTCCGGTGTGAGGGGGCATCATTAGCCGGGAGCAGCTAACAGTGGCTCCAAACCGGACACGTTTTAGAGTGCACGTCAAATTCACTCTGGGTCTGAAATTAGGTAATTGCTATCGCTCCACGACGGCCAGTACAGAGTAACAATAAGCCTTGTGTGTGCTTCCATTAGTTTTGATTGGTATGCGGTGCTTTATTGGCAAGAGGCGAGCCGCTGTTTACCTGCGACAAGAAGTTGATTTTTCGAAAGTCGTAAAACTCAAGTCGCAGTGCGAAGCAACACGTCAAAACCTCACCTGCTTGGTATGGCGCGTCTGGTCATCGCAGAGCCATGAAATTTTGGCTCGGAGTATAACACATCGTAGTCTCACTGTGACATAATATTATGTTTTCTAATCAAAATACCAAGAGAGAAAGTGAATATTGAGTCCGTTCCGGTTTGCAACCTGTGTCCTATTTGAAACCGTCGCCTCTACCCGGTGAAACACCCTAACCATACACCTACAAGTATAACATAATTATATCCTAAGGACTCAGGCTGAGATGCCCGACTGGTCCTGGGTCCTGTGATAAGCACGATCATCATTTGTGATGATGAAAAGTGGCAGGTACAGGGCCGGAGGAAGGAGTTTGTGAGTGGTCCGGCCGATGTCCAAGTGGGAGTTGGGGGGGGGGGGGGGGGGTCGCCCCCGGGAATTTGTTTCGAGAATTTACGTGAAAATGAGCCAATTTGGGCATCTCGTGAGAGAGAGACAGGCAGATGTGACGGATGAAACTATAATACAATTAGTAACAATTAAGCATCAGAATTGGGAAATTATTTGGAAAATTTACGTGAATATGAGCCAATTTGTTTACACCAGTTTTGCATGAATCAGGTGGACCATCCAGCTGGGAAAAGTGGTCCGGCCATGGCCGGACCAGCCGAACCGGTTCCGGCGGCCCTGAGGTAACACCCAGACTATTACATGCTCTGTAAATAGGAAAGATCAACGCCACCAGAATCTGCTTTCCTACAAGCCTGAAGCTTCTCTACACAAGAGGGATATATTGGCTCTCTTGAAATTCGACTTACGATTACATGAGGCAGCTGCCCCACTCCAGAAACCGTCAATCTGGCAGATGCGCACAATGCTTCCCTGCAGGTTGTATCCGGAATATTTGCCGAAGACGACGCTGCCTCCAGCAGAATAGTTTGTGCCCTGGGAGTAGCCGTTGGTCGGTTTAGCTAGCGGTGTGCACACACCGGCTGTACACGTCACAGGCACGTACACACACAGGCACGTACACACACAGGCACACACACACACACACACACACACACAGGCACACACACACACACACACACACAGGCACACACACACACACAGGCACACACACACACCTTGACCTTGATACACAAGGATTCTTCATTATTTGCCACGTTTGAGCTGAGCTGCGATCATCGCGCTTCGTTGCAGTGTGCTAAAAAAACAAGAACAAAAAAACGGCCAAAAAAGGCTGAGGCCGCCCCAGCCACCCCAGCTGTGCCGGCCTTGCATGCCTGGTGTACGGTCTGAAAGATGAAAGATGGAGCTCTTGTATACACGGGCCCGGAAAGTCTGCTTCGCCTGCTCGGCAGCAGCTTCGTAGTGGTGGTCAAGGGTCGAAGACCGGCGGATACGGATCAACTCCCCAGTGATCACACCTTTACCCATACTACGGGGGTGGTTACTACCGGCAAGCAGATACAGGAAACGATTGGTGACCTTGAAATGAGGCTTCACCGCCATGTATCCCTTACTACGGAAAACTGTGGTGTCCAGGAAATCAATGCCATCATGTGCCAGTTCATGCGCAAACTCGAGGGCCAAACACTTATTAATCCTGTCTAAAGCGCGCTGAACTTGACCTTCGCAACCATGCAATGAAACAAAAATGTCACTGATAAAGCGTCTATAAACCTGAACCTCTAAACCCTCCCCCTCTAAGATCGGCAAAATGTACCGATTCTCCAAATACAGCATAACAATGTCGGCATAGACCACTGCTGCAGGCGAACCCATGGCAGTCCCTTGGTCTGCGGAAACAAATCGTTATCGTACACGAACCCGTTAGTCTTCCGAATGACTGACATCAAGGAAGTCACTGCTGTTGTTAACCGTGTACGAAGGGCCGGGGGCATCCACCTTGTATACCTGTGTGTGATATACCACGACAATGCCACGTGACCGAGCTCGTTGGGGATGTTGGTGTAAAGGCTGGTCACATCTATACTCAAAAATAAATGATCGTCCCGCACAGGCAAACCTTCTACCAAGTTGATGAAATCCGTAGTTCAGGCCAGAACAGTACTTTCCTCACGTACATACAGGTTCAGTAGAAAGTCAATGAACTTAGCGGGATAGTAGCCAGGACTATTCAGACTAACAATAGGCCTAACCTTCAGGGCACAGGGCTTATGTGTTTTGATAAGTCTCCTGAAAACGGGCATGCGCCCCCGGTGCGACTAAGAACAGTGACATATAATATGGTCATACGATGCCTAGTCATGGTGAGTAAACAATTGACTCGGGTCGCAAACACGAAGTCTCAACACAGCCTTGAGCCTGTTGGTTGCCATCGGCAGTCTAGCCACATGTTCATCTAGCCCCTCAGGAAAAAAAACAGTCATTTATAATGTTTGGCATTGTGATGCTGGGCACGACCTATATCATCATAGTGAGATCCGTCCAGGACTACTATCACAATAGACTGCCTTTGAATATGCCCGAGTCTGATCGCGTTCTAATTCCCAAACTATGTGCTGCATGTGTACACTCCGCCTATGGTTAGTCTACTCCAGAACAACGCCTGGAGAGGTTCATTGGGGGCATGATGTCCCCCACCCCATCCCCCTTGCCCCCTGCACCTGAAGTACCAGTATTGCCCCCCCCCCCCCAAATAAAGTACAGGACACAGATGGAGCACTGGGGAGCACGTAGCAGTAGGCAAGTTGACGATGCCAGTGCGGACACACCTTACCTCGGTCACCACACTGGCACAGTCATATGGTCTCCAAGGAACATAGCTACCAGAGAACACACAGAATGGGAGTATATAGTGCTATCTCGGTGGATAGACAACCTCCTATACAAAAATACCTACTGATAGAGTTCTGTGTAGACCCTATGTGCACATATGTGTGGATGAGTACTGGTAAATGGACAGCTAACCCTAGTCTAAGTAAAATAAATGTAGAATGTAGACCCTGGGCAAAAAAATAAGTAAATAAAAATAATAGCAACACATGAGGAAACTCGGATGGAGAGCCAAGGATTAAAATTAAAAAAGAGGACCATAAGTTTACGAGTTATCTGTTTTTTCCAACACTAACGGGTATAAACGTGATGCAGCTAAGCATC